TTGAGAGATCAAGCAACACTAGAGCTGAGAGTTTCTTTTTATCCATGGCCTTTAAGATGGTGTCAGTGATAAAAACGTTTAATGTCTCTGTCGAGTGAAGTTTTTTATTTCCACTTTGGTGGGAGGATAGTCGGTTGTTGCTTGTTAGGTAACAGCTAAATTGCTCAAGAGCTAATCTTTCACAGACTTTAGCTGCGACTACAAGAAGGGAAACTGGTCGATTATTTGAGGGTACCTCGTGGTCACCTTCTTTATGAATAGGAATAAGTTCTGCCTTTTTCCATGCCAGAGGAAAAGTAGAAGTACGAAGGGAACAATTTATAATTTCCGTTAAAGGACCCAAAATGACCGGAAGACAGTCCTTTATGATCCGTGGGTTAATCTTATCCGGACCAGATGATTTATTGAGAGGTAACGATAGAACTACTCGACGTACTTCGTGGCAAGTTACGGCTCTAAACTTAAATTGGTCGATTTCAGTTATAACGACTGATTCGATTGATTCTCGTAGATTGATGTTGTTAGTATCTGCTAGATGAGAAGACGCCCTTGCTGCATTTTCACCAACCGATGAAAAAAACTGATTGAAATCATTTGCAAGAGATTTATGGTCTCCTTTATAGAATATAATATAAAGAATACTAACGCAGTATCTATTGTAGTCGTGTCCTCATTAGTATTTTATAAAGAATACTAATAAGGCAGTATATCTATATTGAATTTGTAGTTATGTTTGAAGCTTTTTAATAAACTCGCAGGACGTGTTTTATTAGGTCTAAAGCCACTCGCGCTGCACGATCGTGGCTTTAAACCTAATAAAACACTCCTGCTCGTTTATTAAAAAGTACATCATATCCTACTCGCGCGACTTCATTCAATAATTGTCTAATATCTTTCAAAACCTTATCTGGATGTTTTCAAATATGACCATGCATTCCATTGAATATTATGTGAAAACTCTGTATCTGGTCAGCTATTGAGTTGATATGACGATTTTACAGTTAGTATAGGTAATAGCATGGTTTCGAGTGCAATCTGGATATAACATGCACGAGTGAGTTTTTCAAAGACCTCAAAATAGCACGAGTCCCAAGGACGAGTGCTGTTTGAGGTCTTTGAAAAACTCACTCGTGCATGTTTATCCAAATTTCACGAGAAACCATGCTATTACTTATTAATAATTTACATAAAAATATTCGAGACAATTGTAGTTTTAACGTACGCGTTTATAGCGAATAATTCCACTGGCAAAGTTTTCCTGGCTTTGTTATATCACATTATACAACGCTAACAGCTTGAAAATTCCACTCAACTATGTAATTTTTGTTAGTCGTGTTTAAAGTAAATGGTTTTCCATTTAAAAATGAAAATAAAAGCCATATTTTTCACGGGAAGCCAACTTTTACCCTGTGTAGCGCGGCGCCCTGCAATCTGTGACCGTTACTTCTTTAAACTAAATTGCTTTAAACTGATTGGTTGATTTAATCAACACAATGTTTTTCCACCAATCAGATCAGTTTGTTACAGATTTTTGCACTGTGATTACAAAAAATTGCACTGTGATTACAGAAAATTAAACTGTGATAACAGAAAATTGCACTGCTGTTTGGGATTAATTGCACTGAAATCAACCAATCGCAGTCGAGTAATATCTTTATGTGTATTATTATAGCTGTTAGCCAATTAGAAACCATAAAGTTCCTTTAAATAAATAATAGTGGAAATGATCTCCTTGGGTAGTGATATGTATCTCAAGGAGGATGAATAATTAAACATACATTGTGATGATAACCGACGCTGTATATTCAGAGTCCTCAGCACATTTGACTTGCAGGAATTTCGTAAATGGCGTAACTTTATTGGTACCTGTACCTGCAACTGAAAATTGTGAACTGAATTTTAAATATATAATACTGTGCTATAATGGTAAATATTTTCATGTGTTTTTTCTTGATAAAAAATATCAAGTAAATGCTATGGTAAATTTCCCTCTGCTTGGATAAACATCCATGATGCTTAATGGCTTTAGTAGCAAATAGAGAGTGTGGTAGCCTTCCTAAGCAATTTAAGAAGCTCTAAAGATTTGTCTTCTGCTAACTTCACCAACCTCTCTTCCTCCAAAACAACCTTTAAAGACAGGAACTCAGTTGGTTGAGACAACATTTGATATAAACATGCTATGGAATGACTTCGAAGGAATGCTTCTTTGAATTCAATGAAAATTAAGGCAATCGCAAGCGATCAGAGGCGGTTTCTTAAGGTCGAGATACAACGCGGCGCGATTTATCGCGTCCTGAGTTATACAAAAATGCCAGGCCGCTAAGCAAGAGACCAGCTCGGTTGAAAAATGAGTTGGTCTAGTTTAGACTCGAATCTGTCTCAGCTCGCTTTGGTTTTCCATTCTTGGCCCAATACGGCTCTTCCATTTTGGACGATACAAGGCAAGAACGCGTTCACTTGGTGTCGCCCACTTAGCTCCATTTTCAAGCTGTCCCTCCGTCATGGCTTTGTCCCTTCCTTGTGGAAATCAACTAATGTTTCACCAATACCAAAATCTCCTATTGCTCAAGATATCGACTCAGATTTCCCTCACGGCCATTGTTAGCAAAACTCTGGAGTAGTTTCCTTACCGCTGGCTTTTCCAATCAATCATGATACAGATCGACCCTCTTCAGTTTGGCGCAGTACGAGGCTCAAGCGCAAGCATGGTTCTCGTCCACCTCCTCCATAAGTGGCACGAAGCATGCGATGACCTTGGTTCATCATTGCCGATCTACCTATCAGACTTTTCAAAATCCTTTGATCGGATCGATCATAACGTCTTACTGAGAAAGCTTCAGAAAATGGCCGTTTATCCAGTTCTCATTAATTGGATCGCCGACTTCTTGTCTATCATATTACAGAGGACAAGAACTGGTCCGTCTCTGCTTGGAAGTATATTTAAGCTGGTATCCCACAGGGAACAAAACTAGGTCTCTTACTTTTTTAATCATGGTAAATGATCTCAATCCGGCTAAAGATCCTGTGAATGATTCCACAACGTTGAAAGGTCTGCACAGAGACTTCCAATCTAATTTCTCCTCAACCGCGAAATTGTGCGAGGAATGTAATAACATGAAGTTGAACGCTTCAAAGACGAAAAAGATGCGCGTGAACTTCTCGGCTAGTTCACCGGTCCCTCTTATCATCCACCAATTGTGATCAACAATCAAACATCACCATCGTTATAAGCATGGCAAGCTACTAGGCGTTACTATCTCGAATGACTTGACATGGAACTTGCATGTAAATGCCATCTGTAAGAAGGCTTCCAAGCGTTTATACTGTACGCCCTGCGGCTGTTGAAAAGGAAGCCCATGCATACAGTACTTTAATTCACAGTTGTAAAACCATTGTAACTTCTACTTTTAATATTCTTAAATCGTATGTTACTATATATTTTTTGCTACATGGTATCTTACAGTTGTAAAACCAGCGTAATTCGCTAGTGTGATTATAATTAACGTTTTGAAACTAGAAGAAGAGTCGTCCTTCAAGACAATTGTGCTGTATTAGTATTTCACTACTTTGAAACTATGTAAATTACAACCCTGGAGAAGTCAGTTGAAATATTCGACTTATATATGCGTTTTTTAATGGCACATTATCACAAAAAATTGAATTACAATGTGCTTACAATCAAAATTACATAACTAAGACTAAGTTATTAAATAATAGCTTTGTTTGTGGAAACACCACGTGCATATATTTATTACTGCAAAGCTTTCGCTCCGTAAGCCCGGATCTTCATCAGTGCTAATAATATGTCATATTATTATTGTCTTATTATTATTTTTTCCTTAATATGTCATATTATTGTCTTATTATGACATATTATTAGCACTGATGAAGATCCGGGCTTACGGATCGAAAGCTTTGCGGTAACAAATTTACGTGGTGTTTCCACAAACAAAACTATTATATGTTTTATCGCCAAGCAAACATACAAAGAACTTATTAAGTTAATAAAGATAGAATAAGTTACTATAATATTTACAATTAAAAAATTTAGGTGTGAGGACAATATATATTGTAATAGTTTAGATATTCAAAAACTGGTGTCATGATGACATATTTAAAACTCGAATCATACTTGGGAAAAAGCTTTTCTGAAAACGATCAGTTCTACATTTGAACAATGACCAATTGTTAGCGTTATGTAAATCGTAGTTCACGTTTTCTCTAGTCTGAGGTAAGAGATAAAACAGGCGGTTGCCATCAGTTATCTTTTTAATCGTTCTTTCACACAAAGCATCGCGTCTCTCATCTAGCTAGGCGAGAACAATGGAGCTGACTCAAAGCTTCACGGTAAGACCTGCCAGGGAGGATTATATTCAGTGCTCTTTTCTGAACTCGTTCAATTGAGTCCGCCAGATAAGCTGGTAGATTGTTATGCCATGCAATGCAGCAGTACTCTAGTACGGAGCGAAAGAGAGCATAGTAAATAAAGATCAGTTCGTCAGGTGGAATTCCATCCCATTTAAGAACTCTAAGAATATGAAAACGGTTGGAGGCCTTTTTGACAATCATGGCAATACGCTCATTCCACTTAAGATTATTCTGTATAACCAAGCCAAGAACCTTGTGATGGGAAACGATTTCCAGGGGGTGTCCCCTAAAATTGAGACGTTCTAAAATAGGTGGCTCTTTGAGGAAACAGGCGTGCATCTCTTTGCATTTCTTTGGATTTAGCTTCATTAGGTTGTTGTCAGCCCATGTGTTGACCTCATCAAGGTGATTCTGCATACGGGATTCACTGTTTCTCGACAGGGACGTCTGAAATGGATACATGATCCATGAATTTCCAAGTACCAGTATTCCCTGGGGATGCGATCTTTAGATCGTTGATCATAACAAAAAATAAGATTGGTCCCAATTTTGAACCTTGTGGTACACCGGCTGTAACCGCCAACCAGTCCGAAGTAGCGCCACCAAGTCTAACACACTGTCTACGGTTAGATAGAAAACTTATAATCCATGGGATCAGAGAGCGCCTTACTCCGATATCGATAAGCTTACTAATAAGCACATTATGTCCGATACAATCGAAGGCCTTTGTGTAGTCTAAAAATAATTGACGGATATGCTTATCAGGAGAGTCAAGGTGGAATAGCCAATTATCATATCGAGAAGGCAGTATGCTGTTGATGATCCTTTCAAACAACCAGATTGCTGTATGTCAAGATTATTCACGACGTCTTTCATCATGCATTGTACAACAAAGTCCTCCAGGACTTTGGGAAGACAAGGGATGAGAGAGATTGGTCGAGTATCTCCTTCACAAGTCGGTTGTGACACTTTTGGAATTGGGGAAATGCACGAATCGTTCCAGGCGGCAGGAAATGTTGCAGAGGTTAGGGATGTGTTAAAGATAGTTGCAACGGGTTCTGCAAACTCGTCAGCAAATTCCTTTAGTATGCGAGGTGTAATATTATCCGGGCCACATGCTTTGAAAGGTTGAAGAGTAAATAAACTTGGTAAGGTTCGATTATAGGTGGTGTCTCAGGAGCGGGTAGGAATGCCGGTAGTATTGAGCATTCAAGTGGAGGGATATCTGCATAAACAGATGTATAGAAACTGTTAAGACTGTTCACCAATTCGGAATCAGATAAGATTTTCCCGTCACGCTCGAGACTGAAGCTCGTGTTCTTTCTTGATCTTCCGGACATTTTATTTACAGCATTCCACCACTTTCGACAATCATCTTTACGAAGATGCTGAATCTTATCCTTATAAAACATTTCTTTCCTCTGTTTTATTTCTGATTGCACTTTGCACTTCAGTAGTTGCCACTGTTGCTTATAACCTCTATAGAAGGCTTTTTTGACGATCTTTACTAAGTTGCTTGATTGAAGGGGTTATCAAAGGTTTGTCGATGTGATGTAATTTCACTGTCTTTAGTGGGAAGATGTTATTAAGAGCATTGGTCACTTGTGATGAAAAGGAGGTAACCAATTCATCCGTCCCTGGATTATCGCTGAGTTCGTCAAACCAATTTTTCGAAAAATTTCCGAAAACCTCAATTCCAGACAGAGGATAACGTCTCACTAAGTGCTTTACGGGCTTAGGTTTGGGGGTCAGAGTATTTATGGCATCCTTAGTAAGAGGAAGCCAGTGCACTATGTTATGATCCGAACTGCTAAGCGCAGTCAGTATATACGGCTTCTCCTACAAGTTATGCAAATTGGTTGCAATAAGGTCAAGGATAGCAGACCCTCTGGTGGGTAAATGGACAACTTGCTTTAAGCTATGATTGGATGCTATAACTTGCTTTAAGTTATGATTAGATTATGTAAATCAAAGTTGTTAAAATCTCCAAGAATAACAATTCCACAATCCGGATATTTATTACGCAAGCAGTCAGTAGTGTCTATCAAATACTCGTCAATATCACGAAGCTCTTGAGCTGAACGATCTGGGGGTTCTAGATAAGACACACAGCAATCCCCGACAAGGGTCTGGGTAAGCGTTCTGGACGAAGCCAAAGCCACAAACACTCGAAGCTTGAATTCTCCAAGTCTAGCCTTCGTTGGCAGGGAATATTTTCCGTAAATATAGACACCGCCTTCGCGTGCGTGGGACCGATCATTACGATAAATTTTATAACCACTAAGTGCTATGAGGTCATCAGAGATATCCTCGTAAAACCACGATTCAGTGAGAGCAATGTTGTCTGCAGGGTTGCTAAATAAAAGCGCTTGCAGTTCGTCAACCTTCGAAAAAAGCGAACGTGTATTAATAAGATAGTAGCTTGGAAGCCAGGAAAAATTACAATTATTGTTAGTACTAATGTCACTTTTTCTCGTAACTGGAACGAGTTGACGGTTGTATGATCTCTGGTGGCATACTGCCTGCCGAGAAGATATACGTAAGGTGATTCTAACCTGAATTGGCATTTTTATCACTTCATCATGCGTTGAACCAGCTTCAAGTGGTTGAGCCAATCTTGTTTGTGGCAACGATTGACTTCGGAGTTATCAGCCTTTCAAAGTTCGCGCATACGCAAGACTCACCTGCGGCTCACCTTTTCCAAACGCACGCGGACTTTGAATCACACGGCATAGTAATCTGTCTAGAATTTGATTTATTACGTCAAGAAATATACGTCTGATTAGCAAAGGATTAGTCATTTCAAGACACATTACATAATTCATGGCCCCGATGCACTTGTTGTAATAATATAACAATTTTCACTACCTTTTTTGAATAGAAATTCAAAATTTTTCAACACATCCTCGCTGCTGCACACACTTGGCATACACACGCCCCATTCAATATGATATAACTAAAAATTAGAAGAAGTCTATTTATAATCCGTTTTCCTTATTAAGCTGCTTTCACCTGCAGCATGAACCTTCCATCTTTAGGCAAAGAATTGATTCATTGGATAGGTATAATAAACAGTTATTGGATGTGGTTTTTGATGTGGTGGGGAACATATCTGAATTTGCGCTGATGTCATATAATATGTAATACTATTACATTCAGTAATATGTAATTGTGTATGTGTTGTATTTAATTTGCTTGTAATATGTAAGTTTTGTTAATTTTACGAAATTCAGCTGCCATGTAAAATCTATTAAATTATCTATCTATCTATCTATCTATCTATCTATCTATCTATCTATCTATCTATCTATCTATCTATCTATCTATCTATCTATCTATCTATCTATCTATCTATCTGTGATATCGATATCCAGAATTATCAAGGTCTAGGTAAGTGCTATCAGTCCCGCTGCAGGCGAGATTGGTAACACTTACTGAGACCTTGATAATTCGGGATATCACAAAAACCGAATTCAATAGCTAACTGTTTATTATACATTGCAATTTCATTAATACCTCTTTCGACAAACAATGATTTTTTGCACAAAACAACGTTTCGTCCTCAAAAAAGCAGTGAAAACGATTTAAAATATCACAATAACAGCATAATTATTAAAATAACAAAAAACGCATTTACCTATTGCAGGAGCTCCACTAAAAATGTCAAAAAAAATAACCAATTGAAATGCCGTTCGTTTCATATGCACGTTGTTTTTTACTTGTTTTTATTCGTGTTTTTAAAACTGCCACTTGCTATAAAGTTACATTTCGCTGGCTCAACCCATAGTTAATATAATGAGAGGGTTTGGAAGGCCGGCAAACTTCAAAGGATCACGCCCCCTTTCGTGAGCTGAACTCGATAGAGGGCATCACGTGACAGTTAAGGTGCATCATGGTGTGATTCTATAATACAATTCCCTATTGACAACTTAGAAATCTTTAATTTTTGCTCGTTATACGAGGTTTGGGTAAAATACGAGGTTTTATCGTAAATCTCCATCGTAAATGGCAGCTTTTGAGACGTTTTTATGTGTGATAAGCCAAATTGCTGACGCTGTGTATAGTATCGACGGGGTGCCGGGAACTTGCGAACTATCGTATTTCAAGTGAAGCGAAGTCACACTGCTAAAGCCGCTGGAAAAGGTCGTTAAAAACGCACGTTTTAAGTTTGGAAACATAGAAATAGATGAGGAAATTGATACTGAGCGTTTAGTAATCTCTTGTTCACCTTTTGAGGACGATTTCGAGTAAACAACTGCGCTTGTCGAGATGGACGTGGATGAAGTATTTAAAAACACACATCAAATAAAGACAAGGTCACTGTCTATCAGTAGACACAATTGTGAATGAAGTCCTAGCTAGTAGCTTCCCCTCTGGTGGCAAACTTGTGGTGCAACATTATTCAAAACTGTGATGTACAAACATCACTGGAATGCCAGTCAATCTTTTGTTTACAAAGAATGTTCAGTCAAATTATTTGTAACTGTAAGATGTTTTCCTTTGCTAAGGATCTGATTGTAGATACTGTAAATATAAGATAAGTCCGGGTACACAGAAAAAGAAAGCTTTGAAAGCTTTACGAAAAGACTTGAAGATTGAAATAGTCAGGTACATAGTACAGTAACGTTATATCAATGATCGTAAATGTGAATATGATACTGTATCAATGAATTATCCTCATAATTTTATGTGTAATCTTTTCATCAATACACACAGAGCTTAAACTACTTTCTCTCATTTATGTAATATTCAGCCAATTTTGGTCATGCAGTTTAAATAAGCTATTAGTTTAATAGCTCATTAAGGCTAACATATCTAATGTGCTCTAAACTTATTCCTTTACTCTGTTAGTGTCTATCATCAGACAATTTTACACATCAAGGGCAGTGCAGATTAAGCATTGCAGCTTCAAAGTTAAAATCATATGGCATCAGACAAATGTTAAAAGGATAAGGTAGAAGCATTTGTGGCTTAATTAAACATACATTGTGTAGTGTATAATTTGAGCATAATACAAATTACAATGCATTTCTAACATGGCTGTGGAATTAATAACACTATTGCAGCAATTTTTGCTCCACCTACTTTTGATAGATAAAAATGAACTTCTAAGTTATGAATGTTCAGAAAATAAATAGATACATACACAGTGAGAACACTCATGTCTTTCTTAAGTTAACTAATTGGCACATTCCTATTTATCAGATGAAAATTACCCATAAAATCAGCCAATCTCGTACCACACAACGATGGGTTCTGGGGACAGCATAAACAAACTGTAAAAAGCCTGCGACTTACACTGTAAATTCTTATTATTAAACTATATTTTATAGTCTATATAAGTACATTTCATATTCCTCTTTCTTGAAGTGCCTCTCGCAAACATACAACGTCCCATTTTTTGATTTTCCTTCGCAAATGTTCATCCACTACGCGGTCCTTTGTAATATTGTTGCTACACGCTTCACGAGTTTTCGTTGATAATGCGTCTTTCCCTGAAGGAATCCGGAAAATTCCAACTCCAACATTATTTCGACATGTACCGCAGCCAATATGGAGCAATTTGCTCCCGGCATCGCCGAAAAACCAATGAAATTTAATGTTTTTAGGCTCTGTTTGGCTTAAACTATTATACTATCGTATATGTTAACACCTCAAAGCATGCACTCTGAGTTCCACGTGACCGAGAACAATAAGTTATTTTGTCACGTGACCCGTCCTTCCAAATGTGCTCAACCTACACATAACTGAATTATCTACTAAAACGTAACTGTGCTATATGTTGGTTGCGTGGTTTCCATATTTAGCTGTCATGGCCAGAAATGAAGTACAACATGGCTGACAAGCATGCGCGTTAAGCCTCACCCAATAAATTCAAAATGGCAGCAGTATATATAGATTTGATAAGAGAAAATTCAACATGCGCATTTTGTGTTGAACCCGGTAAAGAAATTACACGGTCCCACGTCTAAATAAGGCCAGTATCAACTCCCGAAAATCTGGCGACAAACCGAGTAGCGTATAGATATGTTCCCGAGAGATTTATATTTCTACTTCTCACTTTGTATATAAACACCTACTAAATCGATATGATTTGCCGAAGTGAGGTTTTCCAAGACGTAAATTTGGCCACATATGTTCGATTTTTCGCACGGTCCGGTCGGTCCCACGTCTACCGGTGTACGCATATTCGAGGTGGACAATACTTTGTTTTTAGCAGGATTTAAATGCTCAACGGCTTTTTTAAACCTGTTCCGCAGATGGCGTCAAAATGTAGTCAACCAAGCGCTGAGAAACTAAACTAGCATAAACAAGCAAAATAGTGGAGAGCAATATTGCTGCCATTTTACATTCCTGAGTTATTTTGAGTTGTCACTAGGTTACCAGGGGCTATACCGTTGTATTAGAGAGGTTAAGATACCCCGGTTTCGGTGTACCGGTACGAGTAGTGTCATCTTGTTTTACTGATGTCATCATGTCTGTAATTCGATCATACTTTTTCTGTTTTCTTGCAATAGACAATGATATAATGGGAAAAATGTGCACCTTAATTACGAGTAAAGGTACAGACATCGACGAAAATATTGCTAACCAAAATAAGGCTACCCGTACACGTACACCGAAACCGGGGGATCTTAACCTCTCTATTATTTTTAAATTTGCTCGTAAATTCATAAAAACAAGCGCCATTTGGCGCGGCAAATTTAATATATTTGGCTTGTGTTGGCGAAGATTCCTTCTGAGATTTCAATAATAAAGGGATGACTGTTGCCAGTATTAGTAACGTATATGATAACAAGTGATGTATTTAGAAGGGGACGGGTATTCTGCAATCGCTCCCCGTATAGAATCGAACCGCCATTTTGAATTTTTGAGATTTTGAGCCCACAGGTCAACCCGCTGGCCGACCTCGATTTCTGGCCATGAAACTACTGGCCAATCAGATGACACAAAGTGACTACAATGTATAATTGTATTAATATAGTTATATGTTAATTAATATAGAGTTAGATACATTAATGTTGGTGTGGAACCTGAAAGCTATTTTATGCGTCAAGGGCAGTTTTTTCCATACTTCATTAGAAACGGGAAAGGGATGCGGTGCCACTTCCAGTTTGATGGTGCATGAATTGTGGATTTTCTAAGTGCATACAGGATCGTCGATCGATGTTTAGAGTATTTATGATACAGTATAGCTTTAATTACGAAGCATAATTTTGCTGTCGCCCTCAATCGAAGGGAAAAATACATTGCGCATGCCAATCAATACTGAGTGGCATGCGCAATGAATTTCTCCCTTCGATTCTGTATGTAATAGTATTGTGTTTTAATATAAACTGAAATAGAAATCTGGAATTGTTATAAACAACGGATGAGATGTACAAAACTAATTGGGAAATAGAAAATTTCCGAGTCCGAGGCGAGAATTTACACTTTTTAATTTCTCACCTCTGTCTTGTTATCGGCCAGAAATATCTTTCCAGGAAACGCTGTCCAACAATAGCGGGAGTCAGGCAGTTTTTTACATTCACTGTATGATCCATACCATAGAGTATTACCACCGTAAATACCGCTGCCTGGTTTGCCACTGGCGTCAACAACTGCCAAGAAACGAAAATTATAGTAGTTTAGGTGATTTGAAAATTTGGATCTAGCAAAATTTACTACTGCAAATCGTATTATGAATAACTATTTTGTAAATAATTGCTCCTCAGTCATGCATACTCAACGAATCATGAAACAGCAATTGAATCAAATTAACTCTAGCGTTGGCTGCACATGGTTTCTTTAATTAGTCAAATGGGAAAACTTTCTTCGCCTTTAGATAACAATTTCTTTCAAAGTTATACAGAATTTTTTTATTAAATTATATGAGCGTGCGACGTCTCAGGACACCGCTTTGCATAATAATTATACAAAACATTAATATGACACTTTTATGCATGAAATGTAGTTATATTCCTTATGGAATTCCACATTATTTTGTTTCCTGTAATAGCGTAACGTAATTTTGGTGCAGTGTTTTACAAGTGCAACAGTTGAATTGAAATTCCTCCTGCTACTCATATAGTCATCGGGATGTGTTAACTTTGGGGGAGAGAGATCAAGGACGTGCCACAAGAGGGGACGGGGTTCCGCACCCCCACCCACCCCCACCCAATTTTCTTCAGGACCATTTTTGTAATTCTCAGTTCCAAAACTGAGGAGAAACTAGGGAGCGTATAAACCACCTAATGTTTTAATCTTTGATATAAAATATACATGTCTAAAATGCATGAAATAACGTTTCGCAGAAATAGCCTTCCGCATTTTTAACGTCAATATACCGTGATGCATGGATGGCAACCGAGCTTGTAATATTGTTGTTGCCTGCTTGTAACACAAAGCAAACAACTTGTTTTGGCTTCTTTTTGGAATGTCGTATTTTGATATATTTAGGCTATGTTATTTATTAGCGTATCATTTTGAAATATGCGAATGAAGATTACCCGAACTAAACATATGTTAATTAGATGGTCAGCCAATGAAAATAGAACATTGATATGAAATGCAGCACTTGAGAGAAATCCCATCCATCAAAATGTTCTAAGAAACTACTTTCAAATCGTAGCACATAAATAAAAATTAGTTTACGGTTGACAAGCACTCTCACTTTCAAAATAAGCATTAGACAGTTGGAATGCCCCTCAAATTTTTGAAAAATTAAATTCTATTGTTTTATATGAGGCCTACAGTACGTAGGTCATTAACCTTTGCTCCTATGTTGCTTTCTCCATGATTTTATGCCTAAAATGTGTTTATTTTAAGACTTTTTTACTGGATGTTCACTCGTTGAGAATTATTTTGCAAAAATAAAATGGGAAAATTTGCTACACAGAAGCGTAAAAACGCCAATTTTGCAGCAATCGACATACAGGGAGAGGGTGAGCCAGTAATGCAAGAAAATAACGAGGAAAGTGAGTGCTCTTTGAGTGCTGATGAAGGCAACGTGGGCACCATTCCAGCTGGAATTTCGATGTCCTGCAGGAAGATTCTCAAGGCATTTTTGGATTTAGGATCAGTGATATGGAACGTATTACAAATGGTTTTTTTTCCATTGTTAGCTGTCCAGAATGTAATTTCCAAGTCTTTCCCTGGAAGAAAATAGTAACAAACGCAAAGGTTGTGCTTTTAAACTCCACTTCACGTGCTAAAACTGCAAATGAATGCATTTGTTTTGGACATCATAACAAAAACAAAAGAGTTTTAATTTTAAATCGACGACTAGTGTATGGAATGCGAAGAATTGTCAAAGGTCATGCATCAAAGTGTTTCTCTGTCATAAACATGCCACCATCACCTGGACCAAAGTCTTCCAACAAGTCCTCTCGTGTCATTGAAAAGAAAGAAATTAAGATGTTGATAGGACAAATCCTGTAAGGCACTGAGTACACTTTAATTGCAAAGAATGTAGTCATTACTGGAAAATCTTAACAAGAACAGGGAAGAATATTTGAGATAGAAATTAGAACACAAGAACTGTAAGGCTAATTTCAAGGATTCGGCTCCGGACATGGAACCCGAGGGAGCAGCACGAATCTTTGCTATCAGAAAATAATCTGCGGTACACTGAATTTTATTGGAATGGTGGACAGTGCAGTGAAGTAAAGAAGTTCCAGTGAAGTAAAGAATGTGTCCTAGAAAAATGTTTGCATGGGAAACCACAAAATCAGAATAAAGTGATAAATGGATTAATTTGGCAAAGAATTCCAAAAGAAGTGTTTGTCCATAAAGATACTTTGGAGTTGGGGTGTATGATGCTGTTTCTCATTATAATATGGATAATACTCCCGGCAAGTATACAGAATTGGTTTGTGAACTTGAAAGCAATTGTTGAGAGTTTCACATGCGGAATACAAATCCACGCCCGAAGTTAAAAAGAGGAGAAGTGATAAAAGGACTGAAAAAAAGGATGATAAAAACCAAACAGACGGAGGGAATAAAGTATGGTGCTGGATAGTTCTAGTGATTTTTAGGGACATGACGTTTTTTGATAGGCAATTACATAGCAGCTACAAAAAGTTTAAACTATATTTTCTCCAATGAACGATTTTCGCAAGGATTGTAATCTTCCAGAAATGATATTTCAGAAACAATTTACCAGATTTGGCTAACATTTTTAGAGGACGTTTACTTCATCAAAAGCTGTGCAATGAACTAGAAGTAAGCCATTAGGTCAACTAATACTTTTTGTATATTACAAGCAAAAATTCATGCTGATCATCATTATATTATGTTTGTGATGTTACTCTGAGTGTATATCCACACCGGGCGAGCTTGAAAAATATGCCCGGCCACGGTGGGAATCGAACCTACGACCTTTGGAATACTAGCCCAATGCTCTGCCAACTGAGCTACGCGGTCAGACGGTTCGAGTAAGTGATATTTCGGAACAGAATCTAGTTCCTTCGATACCAATGTAATCTAGTAATACGAATTTTTCTGTGTTGGTGTTGTGTACTCAGGTGAATAATATGATGTTTCTAATGTTACTCTGAGTGTATATCCACACCGGGCGAGCTTGAAAAATATGCCCGGCCAAGGTGGGAATCGAACCTACGACCTTTGGAATACTAGCCCAATGCTCTGCCAACTGAGCTACGCGCGGTCAGGACGGTTCGAGTAAGTGATATTTTGGATCATATTACTAGCTATATAGAATCATATTACTAGATTACATTGGTATGGAAGGAACTAGATTCTGTTCCGAAATATCACATACTTGAACCGTCCTGACCGCGTAGCTCAGTTGGCAGAGCATTGGCCTAGTATTCCAAAAGGTCGTAGGTTCGATTCCCACCGTGGCCGGGCATATTTTTCAAGCTCGCCCGGTGTGGATATACACTCAGAGTAACATCACAAACATCATATACATCTGAGTACACAACACCACCACAGAAAAAATCATCATTATATTCTTTCATTCAGAACTTAGCAACTATTTAAACTGATTTAAGATATTTTAGTTCATTGCATGGGCTAGCAATGCTTATTATTTTCCCAAACTTTTGTGGACAAACCTTAAATTTGCTTTCGAGTTATCACTTCTGGCGTATTGGTCCACTGCAAGGGCTTTCGAGGTGTTATCTTGGTAATCATGACAACAACATATGTCTAACTCACATAAATGTAAATACTTTTCTATGGGCTGTCGTAATCAGGGGTGGATTAGCCCAGCGGGCTACCGGGCGATCGCCCGGTGGGCCCCCAGTTTTGTACAAAAAATGGGCTCCTAGTTTTGTACTAAAATAGATTTTAGTTCAATGGGGAACTGAGAAGCTTATCCTTGGCCTTGAATTTTTATCAAGGGCCTGGAAATAGCTTGAACGCTCGCAGGCAGGAAACCATGGCAATAACGATTACATAATTATATGAATAACGCCAGTCGATCGTATTAAATTTGTATTTCAATAATTTAAATAAACTTTTACTGAAAAATATATTAAAAACATGCCAAGGAAAGACTTTTATTGCGGTGAAGCATAAATTGCAAGCTATATACAGTATGATAATATGAAATCTAATATTTGGTAAGGATTATCTTTATATAACAATATAGAAATATAATTTTTCTTTAACTTAATTATAATTCGAGTCACAGAAAGAGAAAATTCGCTGATATTTCGCTTGGTCATGACGTCACCAGGGGGCCCCTTTTACGTTAAAGCCCGGTAACACCGATGTTGCTTATCCGCCCCTGGTCGTAATATATCATTTAAACTTTATTCCCAGCTTTAAAGTGGCAGTATGTTAAAAATTTTTATTTTCTTAAACCAAAGCTTAAACGAAAATGCTCGTAAAACTGTATAATAACTTGTTTTGAAGATTTTTGTTCTCATGCTTAGTTCTTGAGATATTTCTTTTGTTTGTAACCATGTGACGTCACTTACTCAATTACATATATAACTAGGAGTTACTATCGCAAGGAAAATGCTGCCGATATGTACATGTAGGATGTGCTACAAAAAGAGCGTTTTTCACTGTATGTATGATTTATTGTCTTACACATCGTCGTTCCTCAGTTACCTTCGTACAATTATATCTTACATCTAATCTTATGAAAAGTATATTTTAATATACTTAACAGTGCGACTTTGATAGTTGACACATAATATAAATGATAAAATGTGAATATTATTGAATGATTTTGTCACTCGTACAACTTTTAATTTGGCTATTCAAACAATTGATTTAAAATAGTTGAATTTATACTTACTGGGATGTTATTGCTTATTGGGATGTTGAAATTATGTTTGTTTTAAATACATTTAATTGATATTCCATAAATTCATTTTGTATGATTTCATTGACCTTGACATTGTTCAAAATCATTTTGTATTGTATTGAAACTGTATGTCTATGACCTATGTTATGTACTATATTAACCCATTGAGTCGCATTGCACCCTGATGCACCCTACTTTGAACAGTATTTTACTCTGTCTAACGCCAGACGATTTTACTCGTCAAGGGGTGAGTGCTGGCACTTAATGGGTTAACTGATCTATCTGCCCATGTGTCTAGTTAACCCATTGGGTCGCATTGCACCCTACTTTGAACAG